GGCGATAAATAAGTGGGTTTTGGGTTGCCGTTTGGGCACTCAGTCTCTAAAAGGTTCACCATCACTGCCCTAGGCCATGTGATCAAAATTCAGATGCTTGGGAACTGACTCGCATTCATGACCGGGATCATGTGATCACCTTTTCCGACCTTCTTACAAGCAATGGGAAAACCCAATGCACTTAACAACCAGGTTACTAATTTAACAACTGCGGTTGTGGCAAGAAAGGTCATAAAATGGGACAAAATTCACTTAAATGTTTCACTTAGCAACAAAAACTTTGAGCTTAATTGTGGTTATAAGTTGAGGATGACCTGTATACATCCAGGAAGGCCAACAGACCTGCCAGCTTTTTTTTCCTTCCTTCCTTCTTCCCCTCCCTTCCCTTCTTTCCCTTCTCTTCCTTCCATACACTGAACAGGTTCACACATCACTCAAAGCTACTATGAAGTTTATTGATGTGAGACAATGCTGGGTAAGATACCACTTGATGGTTATTATGTAGCTTGGTAGGGGCTTAACATAAGTGTACACTCAATTATGTGGTTTGTAACCCACACTGGATGGCTTAGCATGATGCAGGAATCCAGCCAATTGTGGTTTATTCAACAATTCAATAATTCATGGCTTAGTCTGATGTTTATATACAGACACTGTATTTAAACAAGCTCAGAAGACTGGAAAGACAATGTTTTATGTATTCCTTATATATAATCAAGTCACTAAAAATATAGTGCATAGTCCCAAAATTATTAGGGCAAAATACAAGAAACCACAGAAATAAATGCTTTCGAGTATTTGGGGAAGTGAGATAGTGAAGTACACACCAAGACTGAAGTGTTAAAGAGAATTCCCATTATTAGCACCCATTATGAAAGTTCAAAAGTAATAACTAAAACAGAGCTTACAATTTCTAAAAAAAAAAATAGAATTGTTTCACAAGTTTTTACATAGTTCTAACAACAAATATCACAACAGCCAGTTTCAGGACAGACCCTTTTCAGATTGCAGCCAGAAGTCCATATGATCAAATGATCATCTGTATCCCACAAAATCATAAAATAGTAAGAATTCTAAATAAACTTCTTGTTGCTATGCTGTAGAAGGTTTACAGTTTTCCACAGTGGATGGATTCCCAAACCATGATTATGCATTACTTGTAAATCAGCATTAAACAACTATGCTTTTTAAAATGGAAGTGTGTTCCTCCACAAACATAAGCCGTTACCAAAATTACTGCAGAAAGACACATGATTGGATTTATTATTGCAATATTCCACTGAATATCACCATATATTAACATATATTACTCCTTCTCAATTATTCCTCAGCTATACGTGTGGGTGTGGGCGTGGGCGTTTGTGTACTGTTGACTTACAGAAACTATCAAACTTGAAATGAACAGTAATCCTCCTCAAATATTTATGTCTAGTTACTAGAGAATGGAATTTCCAGCAAGCTTCTGCTAAGTTAATCTTAATATTGCTAAAAATATAAAATATACCATAAAATACACACTACAGCAATGTCTGAGCATTTGCAGTTTTTGTCTCTTTTTTATAACACTTTATATTTATTCTGTATTTGCATATCAATACCCACAATGCTCTTCAGACTCACAGCAGTGCATTCAAGCCCTGGGAACAAGTTGAAAGATGTTCATGTACTCAGTTATTTTCTGTATGCTTTGAAACTTTAATAAACATACCCTTATAGAGTTCACTCGGTAATTGCTTCTCTGGAATAAGCTCTTAGAACAGAATTTCGGAAACTTGACAAGTGGTTACAAGAACGCTTACATAAGCTCTGAGCAAAAAGAAATGTAACGCAGAACTTTCAAATGCTCAGTGGCAAATTAAAATAAATGAAATCTAAATTCAAAAAGTCAAAGGTAAGTGCTCTAATATTTCAAAATGTACTTTCGTACATAAAGGAAATATCTCTCCAAGAACAAAAAGTATAAAAGGATTTTTGAAAACAAAACCAGACTTCACCGACAAAGTTACCTGAAATAATTAGAACTATCAATTATGTTTATTTCTAATCTTAGTTTGTGCACCAAGCATTGCAAATCTCACCCTGATACGTCTTCATCTGACAGTTCTCTTTCTTGGAAATAATGGTAGACAGCAGTCTCTTGCTCCACAGTTGCATAGGGTTAGCGGACAGATGTTAGCCCTTTGCAAACTAATTTCCAGTCACTGCTTTTACATAAATTCTATGAATAAACAAACCTTACATGTCATAGCATTAAAGCAACGATAACAATATAATATCTTCCAATAAAGTAGACCCTTGCTGAAGACTCTGGTGTGCATATGGCCATTTACACATTTACAGAAGTTGAAGGAATTATCTTAATTTTTCACACACATGAATTCCCTGTTTGTAGAATTTTTGAAGCAGAACGCACCCTGGAATCTCTGGAAATATTATGCATACTTTTACTGCCTGCCTATATCATTATCATCATAAATAATTATAGTAAATTATTTGCATTTAGAAGGATAGCAATAACCTCATCTCAGAGAATGCCAGAAAGTTCTTCTTTCAACACCCTTATGACACCGATTCCATTTCCTGCTTTTTCTTCAGAACAATGTTCTGGAATGGGAGCATATTTGCCTCCACCCAAGCATGCTTAAAATATCTCACTGCCTGCACCTTTCTCCTGACCCGCTTTACAGGTAGTCCTTGCCTCCCAACAGTTCGTTTAGTGACCGTTCAAAGTTATGACGGCACTGAAAAAAGGGGACTTATGACCATTTTTCACAGGTAGGACCGTTGCAGCATCCCCGTGGTCACGTGATCAAAACTCAGCCGCTGGGCAACCGACTCGCATTTGTGACGGCGGCAATATCCTGGGGTCATGTGATCTCCTTTTGTGACCTTCTGACAAGCAAAGTCAATGGGGAAGCCAGGTTCACTTAACAACCATTTTACTAAACAACTGCAGTGATTCGCTTAGCAACTGTGGCAAGAAAGGACGTAAAATGGGGCAAAATTCACTCAACAAATGTCTCACTTAGCAAAATTGTGGTCGTAAATCAAGGACTACCTATACTTCCTATGAACAGAGATGTTCATTGGACATGACTGAAGGGGGCTGATGTGTTACTAACTCCATAAATATTCAGCAACCAAGCAAAAGCTTCTCAATTGTCCCACGGATCCATTTTAGGCAGACAACCAGCATATCAGCTTTTTGCTAAAAGGGGCTGGAGTCTGCTTGCATTATATTCCTGAATCACCATATATCTTTAATTCTATCATCACATGAATAAAGAATAAAAATTCGCCATGTCAATGACCCAACAGACAAGCACATTCAACGATGGGGTGAAAACCCCGACAAACCACCCCCCACACCCAAATGACTTAATTTATTTCAAAGTGATAGCTGCAGAAACCAAAGCTTTCTTATTTTTATCCATTGGCAGCAAAAGTGGAAAAACTCCAGAGAAGTTACAGTTGATAAAACACGGAGGGAGATTGGTTTTCTTAACGTGGGTTAGTTGTGACAACAATACACGTGCTTGTAAATATAACGCTGAATAATTGCCCGTGTTTACACTCGCAGGTTTCTCTAAACGCTTACACATTAAAGGCCCTCTTTAAGGCTTTTCGTTCAGCTCAGCTGAGTTTCTCTGGTAGGCGGAAAAACAAGTTGCTGAAGGGATGAAGAATGGCAGGAAGCAGGTTTCCACTCCTTTTGCCAGAAACTTTTTTAAAAGACTGCCCAGGCGGCAGCGTCCTCCCAAATTGTACCAAGGTAACTGCCAGAGGATGCTGACTAATGAGATGCTAAATAATGGGAAATGAATTAAAAAAAAGCTGTAGGGCATCTTAAAGTTTCCACGGTTGAGAAGCCCTGCTGTAGTGCAACAAGGCCACGGGGGAACATTTTACCCGCCTGTTCTAGAGTATGTAAAAGTTCACATAGTGGAAGTCCTCGCTTATTGACCGTTCAAAGTTACAATGGCACTGGAAAAGTGATTTACACCCCAACCGTTCCAGCATCTTCATGGTCATAAGATCAAAATTTGGGCATTTTGTCCGTTGTTCATATATGGGAAAAGGTTTGCAGCATCCCAGAGTCACGTGATCGCTATCTGCGTCCTTCCCAGCCAGCTTCTGACAAGCGAAGTCAATGGGGGAAGACGAATTCACTTAATGACATGATTCACTTAACAACTTCAGTGATCCATATGACCACTGTGGGAAAAATGGCTGTAAAATTGGGCCTGCCTCATTTAACAACCGCCTCACATTAAATTCTGTGGTCATAAGTTGAGAACTGCCTGTATTGGGCTACACCAAGCTTTATTAGTTTAGTAAATAATCCACAGCTGCCTTGACTTCACCTCACTTACTCAGCAAAAAACGCAAGTACACAATGTTATATATATAGCAAGATGAGTGGAATATGTCAAAGGAAAGCCAAGGTGTTTTCGCTCTAGGGGAACTCAATTATGTGTCAATTTCTGTCAGAGTTGCCTGCTACATTACGGGGAATATGTCTTTGCTCAGCAGTCTAGCTTGGATTAATATTTACATAAGAACTTTTAAAGTACTGTAAAGAATTCCTCAAATCACTAAACAGATAATCATCCTTCTGTTTGCAGAACCATGCTATTAAAATAATTCTTCCTGTGAAATTAAAATAAATTCATAGGAGGATTCTCATAATACAATATTAATCCCTGATTTGCTTTATACAGGCCTAAAGCTTTCTCCTAAACCATTATGCATTTCAAGATCGCCATTCCAGCCCAGAGTATTTATAGGAATATTTTAAGACAGGAGGGGGAAACTTCCCACTGTTCTCATTATTTGTCCCTATATTACTATACTCAAAGGGATATTCAAATTGACCAGCCCAATAACACTAACTTTTATGGATGCTAAATGTATCCAGAATGCATGCCAGATGAATCAAACCCCTGATATACCAATCTAAAGAGCTGAAAGCCAAGGGAATATCTGATGACAGCTCATACCTGGAACATCCAGATTTTGCTTCTCAATCCCAGGTGATGGATGGTCCTGTGCAGATTCCAAATTCGCCAGATTACATAAATAAGACGTGGCTTGAAAAACAAAACAAACGTTATAGTGTTGTATAGAGCGCACAGTTAATATACTGACGGTCTTTGCCCCGGCATCTTCAAAGAGAAAAGGGTAAGATCTACATAAAACTCTGGAGAGCTAATGCCAGGTTGACACAGAAAATGCCATTTACAAAACTAACTTTATATAAGATACAAAAGGCCTCGACCACACCGACAAAGAAGTTAGTTATTGTGTATGTTTAGACTACAAAACCCAGAGATTAACAAGAGATAGATGATGCAGATCTGAGGGAGATTTGCAAGGATTTGTAGATCAGCACAGATTAGGACACATTACTATATACGCAGACTGCTGAAATGATGACAAAGTTGAATAACTGGGAAACGAGTTTGTTCACGTAGGACTGAGTTCAGCTCAGCGATGGTGCACAAAACAAACACTTGGGCTCACAATTAGTAAAAGAGAAGGGTATATCTGCCCTTGGTTCCCGTAGCTGACTCTCAGGAGCCTCTACTCAAAAGCAAGGTAGATCCTGGGAGTCTAAAACTTATCCACTTTTGACATGACTTACATACAACATTCCAGAGATGGAAAGTCAGCTAGGAAAAGTACAAAAAATCAGTGTGGCAAGCATCTAATTTATTATCTTACACGCTCACAATTAAATGCTACCATAAAAGGCGTTTTATGCACGTTTATGGAGGTTACTCTTTTCATAACTTGAAACAGCCAGAGATTCAATGAGTTATAAGGCCATGGGCTCTGAAACAGCACTAAGGCTTTGCAGCTTTGTTACTCATTATTTATTTAAAATATATGTCTTCTTTATATATAAAATCATATTTGCTATTGAACTACATATTCCTATGCATATTTCCTCCAAACTAAATCACATTGCATTCAATGGTTTTACTCTCAAACACTGAATAAGAGCCAACAGCAATATTCCCCTTTAAATTGTGTAAAGAGGGCGACTAAGATATTTATCTAATGAGATGATTTTAACATATGAGAGAATTTGACCTTTCCAGTGTTTTCAGGGAACTGCAAATTGGGCTCATGACACTGCAAGGAGCAAAAAAATGCAACGTCTATCATTCTGGAAGGTTCTCTTTAAGTTATAGACTCTTCCATTCCTTAAAGGTTGGCCAAATCCAAGAATTCTCATGAGTGAGTACAAGCAGCTGCATATACTCATTTTTCCATCTGACCATCTGGCAAAGAAATCACACAGATAATGCAAAAAGTATGTTTAAGTGCTTTACCTTAAAAAAAACTACTGGCCGACAACAGAATTTCTTTTCCAAGAATTATTTTTCTAAGATTTGTAATAAAAATGAGAGAAGACTGCTTATTCACCCTTCAAAAACATGTTTTTTTTATTGTTTGCTTCCTAAATCACTTCAAAGAAGTGAAAAGTGATTTCCAAATAGCTTGCATTCATAAACATATCAAGTGGGAAATTAAGTCCTGATCAATATTATTAGAATTATAAATTGTAAGATACATTTCTCATGTTCCTATTATTTCCTGTTCACTATTTAGGAATTTGCTTTATGGAAAACACTATACACATTTTAATAAATCATTAATATATTGTAAGCCACTTGGATGAAATGAATTCCTATTATGTTCAACAAACAGCTTACAACAAGCACAAATGCAAATATATTACATAACAGAATTCTGGAAAGAGTATTTCACAACTCAATAAGTGGCAAATGGCATTGAGAGCACCACAACATTTAAGAATACAGATAGTCCTCAACTTATGACCATAATTGAGCCAAAATTTAGGTTGCTAAGTGAGACATTTGTTAAATGAATTTTGCCTCATGTTACGACTTTTCCTGCCACAATTGTTAAGTGAAACATTGCAATTGTTAAGTTACTAACATGTTTGTTAAGTGAATCTGGCTTCCCCATTGACTTTGCTTGTTAGAAGGTTGCAAAAGTTGGTCACATGACCCCAGGACACTGCAGCCATCATAAATATGAACCAGTTACCAAGCATCTGAATTCTGATCAGGTGACCAATGGGATGCTGCAATGGTCATGTTAAAAACAACAATATTGGGACACTGATTAACTAACAGGCAATACAGAGAATAGTTTCACTCCCTAGAGCTCTCCTCTGTAGAGCATCAACAAATCAGCCAAACCATCTCTATAAAATGAGCAATGCAGTTCAGCATCATATGTTTCAATTTCCACAGTGCCCATTCCAAATAAATAAATAGTCTTCCAAAAAAAGTGGAGGGAAGCTACGGTACTTTAAAAAAAGGCATGCCCCCTGAATTGTCTGCAAAGGTGCTTATATTTATAAAACAGGGTGCTGCATCAGTCATTAAAAAGTATAAAGATGAGATGCCACATGACATGATTATCTTTTAAATATTTGAACGTTATCTTTCTACCTTACAGAAACGTGGAATGCATGCAAAGGATGTTCCAACTTAACTAGGCCAAGATGCAAATATCCAAACAATTTAAAACAATTAAGGTAACAACAGTTTCACTCTAGACATTCATTAAGTAGAAACCCTGTGATTTAAACGGAGCTGATGGAAATTCACCTTTCTTATTGTTTGTTGTTAATTTTACTGGTCTTATATCATTCGTAAACTACCCAGAGTCACTGGGAGTCGCGTAAAACATACATTTCATACATAATAACAACACCAACTCCTCTTTCAAGGCAGGGCACCCCTTTGATAGCTCTCTTGCCTGTTGTATGCTACCACAGGATAGCATACAACCCACAGTGCTGTGGCCCTCAGAGGCCTTTTTCATTTATCATCCTAACACTTTGAGAGGGAAAAGCCCTGGAGACTCTTATCAGTTGGCCTATCTGTACAAAAAAAACAAACCCCTCATTCTGGGTCCTCAAGCCTCCCTGAAGAGTCGAGCACTGAATTTGCTAAGTTCACATCTCTCTATCTCTCTCTAATCTATCTACCCATGCTTCCATCTACCTATCCTATCTTCTCGATTCATCTATTTCTTCATCCATCTACCTATCATCTCTAGATATCTACTTTATCAATCTACCTCTTTTATCTCCATCTATCCATCTGCCTCTATATCTTCTCTATCCATCTTTCCTACCTATCCATGCTTCCATCTACCTACCGTATCTTCTCTATTCACCTATTTCTCCATGTACCTATCTTCTCTATATATTTACTGTATCAATCTATCTACCTATATCATCTCCACCTAACTTCTATATCTTCTCTATCCTTTTCCTATCTACCTATCTATCCTTCTGTATCTTCTCTATCCTTTCCTGTCTGTCTGTATGTCTGTCTGTCTGTGTCCGTCCGTCCGTCCGTATCTATCTATCTATCTATCTATCTATCTATCTATCTATCTATCTATCTATCTATCTATCTATCTATCTATCTATCTATCTATCTATCTATCTATCTATCTATCTATCTATCTATCAATCTATCTATCTATCTAATCTATCTACTCTATCTAGGGCTTTTTTTTGTCATAGAACACCCAGACTGAAGTTCCCGCACCTTTTTTGGATGGAACCTTGTAGGGTAGGCAAGGCAGGTTGTATGACGTGAGTTCCAGCACCTTTTTTTTTCTTTCAAAAGAGCACTCTATCTATCTATCTATCTATCTATCTATCTATCTATCTATCTATCTATCTGCCTATCATCTCTATCTATCAAATTTATGGTAGACCCCCCCCCACTTCTCCAAAGTGGCCCTTCATTCCTCTCCTGGGCTTGTTCTAAACATAAAAAACCCCCAAAGGAGTAAGAATGAAGTAAGAGAAAAGGAAAATAAAGGAGGGGTGGGGGTGGGGTGGAATTCATAACAGACCCGAGTTGCATTTTATATTATTGGTTCCACCAAAGAAGAGCTTGGGGGGGGAACGTGGGGAGGGCATCCCACCTTACGTCAACCCCCTCCCCGGAAGCGGCCTCTGGGGCGGGCGCTCTCTGGAAGGGCCCTGGGTGGAAAAGGGGCGACCAGGCCCCTCATTCATGGGGGGGGGGAGAGACACAAGAAAATAAATGATGGGAGAAAAGGAAGCAGCGGGGTCTTTGAGGGGGGGCGGAGAGGCAGTCCCCCCCAATGGCTGTGCTTTGTCCAGGAGGGCAGAAACGGGGGAGGGGGGCTACGCGCCCCTTCGCCAGTCAGAGGGAAGGAGCCCCCCACACACAGACCTGCCCCCAATCCCCTTTCCTCGGGTGGGGGGGCCGACACATTTCCTGCTTCTCCCCCCGAAACTGACCTGTTGCAGAAGGGCGGGACAGGGAGGGGGCTCCCCTAGAGACTGCTGCCCCTTCACCCCCACTCAGACACCTTCACATCCTCTTTCTCTTTCTGCTCCCCCCATCAGACACTCGGCCTTCTCACCGCCTCTCATATCCCTCCGCCTCTCTTCCTTTTTTTTTTATTCTCGGAGGGGCGAAAAAAAAACAGTCTTTCCGTCCCCGGCCTGTCCGAACACGAGTTCCGAGAGAATTATTTCAAAACAAAAAAAAAAAATAGAGGAATTCTAGTCACAAGAACAGCGGGGGATTATTTTTTCGGGCCGAGGCGGAAGGATCTCGCGCGCTATGACACGCGGAGCATGCTGGGAGTCGTAGTTCTCCGGTTGGGGTTGGGTTTGGTTTTTTTTCTGTCTCCGACGCTCCCGCTTCCCTCCACGCTTACCCCGACTCCGAAAGCAGGCAAGAGCTGATTGGGTGGCTGGAAGAGGCCACGCCCTTTCCTCGCCTGGAGAATGAGAGACAGAACGAGAGAGATTGGGGACGCGTGCGCCGCTCGCCTTGACGCTGTCCCCCGGCGCTTTCAGCCTCCCTAGCCCCGCCCACCGCAGCCCCCACCCCTCCGGGCGCGAGCCGAGGCGGTTGGCGGCGCGCGCAGCCGGGCGCGAGTGGGCGTGGCCGCGCTCGAGCGCTGCCTCCTTGGCAGGCCGCCGGTTCTTCGCCCGCCAGCGAGCGAGCGAGGCAGCGGCCGCGCGGGAGCCGAGTCTCTCCGGCGGGGAAGGAACGGGCGCGCTCGCGGCGGCGGCGCCCGCGGAGAGCCGCCCTCCGCCTCCCCGGACCCGAGCAGGTCAGCCTGGCTGCCTTTCCCCTCACTTTCCGAAAAAGTTTTACCTCAGGCGGGAGAGGAAAACAGGCCCGAGAGGCGAGAGGAGCGGCGGGGAAGCCGCTTTGTTTCGCTGTGGGACGGCCCGGGGAGGGGTCGGACTGGGGGAGGGCGAAGGGAGGACGGGAGCCCCCTCTCTCTCTTTTTTTTGCCCCGCTCGGAGCTTCCCTCTCCCCGGCGGGGGTGTCTCCGAAGGCGGCTTGGGGGGAAAAGGGGGCAGCGGGCGCGACTTCCTATCGAGGGGGAGGAAAGGAAGCAGCCCCCCCCGGATGGCCTTGAGGCAATTTGGCACTTCTCCTCACAGACCTCCCCCCCGCCGCCGCTGGGGAGCTGAACTTCGCCCCATCCCGTTTCTTGGGATGGGGGGAGATGGTTGAAATGCGGTTCTTTCTTACTTTTTCTTTCTGGGTCTTCTTTAAAAAATAAACAATAAACGGGGGGGTGGTGGTTAGGACGCGAGAAATATGCCCCCTTGCAGAACCGAGCTTCTTAGGGCTTTCCCCCCCCCCAACCTCAGCCGAACTTCCCCACTCCGAAATGGGGAAAGAAAGAAAAAAACCTGACTCTTCTTCTTAGGGTCTCGCATCCGGGGGATGGGGGGAAGGTTTTATTTTATTACGGTCTCCGGCTGTTGAAGGGGATGGAAACGGGAAAGAGGATAAAAGAGTGCATCCGGTTTTTATTCTTGAATGTAATGGCCCTCTTTAAAATAAAAAGCTGCCCAACTTTTTAAACTTATCTCCTCTGTAATTTTTATATCTGTGTTTATTGCTCGTGGGGTATAAGGTCCTTGGGTTGAATGGGGTTCGTCCTCCTGCTTTGAAGTTCTGGGACTGTCCCTTAGTTGCTCTTTAAGAAGGTGTTTTTGTTTTGTTTTTTAATCTGCTGCTTTTGGCAGCAAAGATGCTTCAGAGGATGCCTTGATCTCCCAGTGATGGAAGTGATTGATAGAGGAGAATATTTGTAATTCAGAGTTGAAGTGTCGGGTCCTTGATTTTCCCTGAGCTTGGTGGTTTTCTTGCAGACTTTTTATGACCAGACTAGGTAATGTCATCAGTGCTAGAACGGAGGGAGGTTTGTGGAGAGGAGGACTGTGAAGACCTTGGTGCTCTCTGAGCTTGGTTGTTTCCTTGCAGATGTTTCTTTACCCAAACTAGGTAAGATCATCAGTGCTACTAAAGAAAAGGGTTTGCTCTCAGTTTAACACTGACAGCAAGCAACTAGAATATAAACTGAGAGCATGCCCACGCCTTACTAACACTGATGATGTTACCTAGTTTGGGTAATGAAACGTCTGCAAACAACCAAAGTCTGAGAGCACCAAACACTCCTCAATGGTTATAGTCCTGTAGATTGCAACATACCTAACTAAGGGACCAAAAGGAAGCCAAGATTGTTTTAGAGCAGCAAGGGTTTCTCTCTCTCTCTCTTTTTTTTTTTTTTACTATGTTACATTCAGTGTTGTGCTCAGAATTTGGGGAAATGAAGCAAGGTAGAGGGTAGCATTTCAAGAAACATTAGCTTTCTCTTGGATTTATCTGTATAATTTTTATTTATTTGTGTCCCACCTTTATTATTTGTTTTTACAAATAGCTCAAGGCAGTGAACTATCCAACACATCTTCATCCTATTTCCCCACAAGAACAACCCTATAGGGTGGAGTGGGCCCAGAGACTGACTGGCCCAAGGTCACTCAACTGGCTTTCATGGCTAAAGTGGGTTTAGAAGTCACAGGTCCTCTGTTTTCTAGTCCATGCCTTAACCACTACATCAATCTGGAATCTCTGGTGGAGATCTTATTCAGTTATGTATTCAATATATAGCAAACATCTATTTGTCCTAGTCCCCCTTTCAGTAAGAAGATAACATCAATCTGATATGATTAATTAATACTGTACACATTTTTGCCAATGTCCAAAGTACTTCAAAGTTATGTAAATATTAAATATTTAATTTTATAAAGAATTAGAAATCTGTCATTCTTAGAGTTATAAAAGAGTTTAAAACGTGAGTGTAAAACTTCCTAGGATCAAATCAAAATATTCTTTATATTATATTATTGAATATACGCACATAGAATTGTGCTTTGTTTTTTAAGGCTTTCTTAACTACTTATAGAAAGCAGACTGGTTCTCATATGTTAAGAATGTACTTTTTCTGCTTGCATTATAAGAACATAGAAGTCATAATTGATGGACAATGATAACTAAGGAAACAAGTATTTTATGCGGGCCTTTATAGCTGCATAAGTCATTTTCATAATTTTGGCCATAGGAATTTTCAGAAAGCAATAGATGTTTCTGTTGGCTTAAGGAAGTGAATGTTTTCCAAAACAAGCATAATTTAAGTACTCCACAAAGCTAAAGCAATTGTATTGAGCTAGTTTTATTTTGAAAATCTACAGCCCTTTCTTAATTTATGACACATTACATTTAAAAGGCTGAATATTGTTCTGTATTAAATTTTGCACCAATAGTTTGTTTCTTCTGAAAATATTAATTAAATAACTTTTTAAAATAGAAAACTACTAATGGATTAAACAGACCAAAAATAGTCCTGGCAAAAGTTTTCAGTTCTCAGATATGTTAGAAAAGAGTTACCCATAAAGTTGTATTTTCTGTAACAATTTTCTATTCATTATATGGTATTTATCTTATTGTAGATTTAGCCAAATATGCTGTTTTCTCAAATTATTTATTAATTATTATAATTTATTTTGAACCATATAATTTACTGCTGACTTAGAATGACACTTTTTTGAAATATTAGAAGGAATTGTTTAATTATATTTTGTGGATTTCATTATTAAGATTTCCTCAAATTAATATTTTTATTGACTACAGTATTGTAAGTTTCTTGATGTGTAACTTTTAAGAAAGTTAACTTCAGTGTAGGTTTAATTTAATCATGTTAGCTTTATTTCAATATATAGAGGAATTATACATCTTTATTTCAGTATCTAATGTAAAGTTAAAGGTTCTGTGATCATAAAGTATAACCTGAATACTGTTTTGAAAGCTGAGTAATTCAGCACAAATAAAATTAGTGCATCTTAAGCAGATAATTCATTGTACTATGCCATTGCATTTATACTTTCATAAAGACATATCATTTGTTTACAGAATTGGGACAAAATGTAAACTGCACTAAAAGCAGAGTGTGCTACATTTTATCTAAAGTATAATACTACCAAATGAGAGAAAACAATAGTTGTGTCTCTTCATAATCTTGTTGGAAATGGTGGCATAATAGGGTGTCCTTCTTGTGTCTTTAACATAAAACGCTAATAAAAATCTCTCTTTGAAACTGTCAAGATAGATTATTTGAAACAAAGCATTAAGTAATTACCATGTGTCTATATTTTTAAATAATATACAAAATTTAAGGTACTGTGTTGCTCAGGGTTCTAGGCTAGTAACTGCATAGAATTTTTTCTAAGGTTGATGTATCTCTGCTCGAAGAAATAAGTAGGATACATTATAATAAGACATATTTTTCTGTAGCTTTTAAAGACTCTGTTAGTAACAGTTGCCATGCAAATGTTCTGTTGAAGCATTGCGGATTTAAGGTGAAAATTCTGAATGGTTAGATGCAGTCTCATCCTTAAGAGATGTGTGGTAAGTTAATGCCCCATCCTTTGTCACTAAAGCTATGTTTATGTAATGTGAGGAATAATTCAATTATTTCTTATCTCCTTACAGCTTTTAAAAAGGTCATGAAAGCTAGTGTTGATACTTGCATGACATTCAGTGTACTGCAGTTCGTGATGTAATGCTGAAGCTGTTGGATATTTATATGTAAACATTGTTTCTTGCATTGTGATAGGATTGCATTTTTGTTTACATTTTGTAAGGCAGCCTTCACCATGAAAACAATACACAATGTCACTGTGGAATAGATAAAGTAATATATTATGTTCTTGATGATAAGCAACATAAGATCTTTGTCACAATATCTTCAATATTTGCTCATTATATATTAAAAGGGTATGCCTATTAATATAAGTTAATATGACTTTCCTGCTTCAAATGTTTTAGCAGCTCAGAAATGCACAATTATGATAGAATAAAATGCTAAAATTCTAATAAGGGAAGAATGTATAGAAGCTAAGAAGCACTTCCATTCAAAATAAAAAAAAAATAGTGCTGTTTTTTCCTGTAGACGTATTTTTGGTTATCCAGTCATTTCTAAATGCAAACTGAAATACAAGCTTATCATGCTGGC